TTGTAGGATCAGTGACATGCATCGCAGTAGATAAACCAAATGATGCATTAAATGAATGTCGTTTTCTATTTCCCATAGATGAACCCCTACTGATTGAGCGCTGCAATGACCTTCTTGGGCTTGAATGTTTAAACGATTCTGAATTACCGTATGATATCTCTATTACCTGTTCCGACTCTTTATTTACTTCATGTAACCGAATTAGCTGAGAGTATGCTCCCTCAGGAATCTCGAGTTAGGTCCGTATGAGTTCCTGCTCAATGTGCAAAATAATATCAACGATGAGAAAATGCTAGAATGACGTAGAAGTAGTTAAAAAAGTTCTTATAGATGATGCTGATGACAATGACTAAGTTAAGATGAAATTCAACATAGATATTCTTTTAACTCGCCTTTTTCGACCATTTTTCCTCGATGAATTATAGCAATCATATCAGCATTTCTCACAGTAATCAAACAATGAGCGACAATGATAGTCGTCCTATTTCTCATCATCCTATCCAATGCTTCTTGCACTATCCTTTCAGATTCTGCATCTAATGCACTTGTAGCTTCATCTAAAAGTAATATTCTAGGGTCCTTCAGAATTGCTCTTGCTATCGCCGCTCTCACCAGAAAGCTGAGTTCCATGCTCTCCAACCATAGTATGTAGTCCCTGCATATGGAGTTCAGTTTTCCAAAGTAAATATGCAATTCAATTCATATATAATTGTAGAAGTTATATTGTCACATGGACCGGAAATTAAACCTGAGGCAGTTTATCGATGAACTTAGATGCATTCGCAAGTTCAGCAGCGGCTCGTATCTCTTCTGTGGTTGCACCTTCCTTTCCATAAGCAATGTTATCCCTAATGCTTGATGTGAACAATACAGGCTCCTGGCTAACAAGACCAATCTTTCCCCTGATCCATCGAAGCTGAAACTCCTTGAGATTAATGCCATCAATAAGAACTTCACCATCATGAGGATCATAAAACTCTCTATAAGGCTTATCACTGTCGAATTCCCACTTCCACTTTGTCCGACCAAAGCTGCTGTTGTGCCATTTTGAATAGATAGAGAGAAGCCACTGAAAATTTGCTCGTCTGGTCTAGCAGGGTAACTGAAATAAACATCCCTCAGTTCTACATCCCCGTGTATGTCCTCCGATACTTTCCCCCTAGTGTCATATGGGTCGATTATGGGCTTCCTTTTGATGGATTCAAACATCTTAAAGGCCGCTGCTTGACCGAAGCAAATGCAGTCACGAATGGGGATGCCTGCCCCAGGGACCTGAAACATACATATATACAATGAACTAATGTTATGAAAAGTGAAGCATGGCATAACAAGTACAATATAAACAAAGTTGAAAGTTTAACTCACATGGAACCCGTCAATACAGCGAAAATCACAGTGATTACTTCACCTCCAGAGTACCCTCTTTCCAAAACCATTCTGGCACCAAACCATATAGCCAAAGAATAACTGCAAAATACAATTAGAAAAAGTACACCAAGACCGAGTCCAGCAGCAGTGCCTCCATGAACGCCTGATTTGTAAGCTGTAACAAGAAACTTATTGTAATTGCTTATGGCCTGCTTCTCACCAGTAAATGATGCAACCTAGAATCAGATTGAATAAATTAGTCATATATTTTCACTGAAAAAGAAAATAACACAATTATTCTTCATATGGAACATACTGTTCTGATTGAACCGATTGTCTGTTCGACGACGGTAGCAGCTTTGGCATAAGCATTTTGTCCAAGTGATGCCATCTTAGATATTATAAGGGCCATGGCACCAACAGATATTACAAGGGGAGGGATGGATGACAACATGACAAGGGTTAGAAGCCATCCCCTCACAAAGGCTATAACAAAGCCTCCAATGAATGTCGGTATCAACTGTATAAACTTCCCAACCAGCAAACATAAACAAACAGTTCCATGATTACATGTATATATAGGATGATTTCGAGGATTCTAACCGTCACAGGTCCGTGATATGTTACCTTCTCGCCCATGGCATCCTGTATAAGAACTGTGTCCCCAGACATTCTTCCGACGACTTCTCCCGTGTTTGTTTCAAAATCAAAGAAAGCAACGTCTTGCCTCAATATGGTTTTCAAGTACAATCCCCTTATTCTAGAGGCTTGCCTCTCACCTGTGACTATCCAACAGGCCACCTCTGAAAACAATAAACCAAAACATTAAACTCTCCGGTATGTCATATAACGTCAGGTATACGGTTTAAATAAGAGATTTACTTACGGAGAAAGGCCGCCACCAATGCCCCTGCCCCAAGGTAGACGAATCTCAAAGCAACCTGTTATTTTTCAAGAACCAGCCCATTGTATAAATTCAATGAAATAATGAAAACTTAAATAAAAACACAACCTTACAACTTAAGTTCATGCTACGTGTTATAGTACCCTGGAGACAGTATCAACGATTCTGTCGTCATTTTGGTTTTCTCCAAAAGCGTCAATGAGATCCCCTAAGAGGACCGTCATAAGGGGCATACATACACCGTTCCCAACCGCTCCGATCGTGCCAACGATCATCAATAATATATCCGTTAAATCAGCGAACGCAAACAGCTTGTAAAATGCAACCGTGTTGGTTTTCCCATCCCCTTTTTTGCCTTCTGAACCTTGATTTTTTCCATTGACGCCGGAGATTTTCTCCGGCTCTTCCTGGCTTTTCGATGTGCTGGCCTCATGCCTCGCAGTAGGTTCATTCAAGCCGTTCTCAGAGGCCATGGTGCTGGATCCCAAGCTGGAAGTGTTTCAATAAAATAAACTTCATCATCATTGTTACCACTAACAAAGCCATCATTTGAAGATAACCCAGATACCTCCTAAGTCCTAACTCACTAACAAAATGAAAAGGGTGATCGAGAAGAATCAAATTACCAAAAGTTCGAAATGGTAGTTGGATTCTGTTCCCACTTGGTGCCCAGCCGGCGTCACTTTATGTTTCAGTTTAAAAAAAATTGTAATATTTATATTAAGCTTTTGGCGAGCCTTTCCTTGAACAGCACGTATTTTACCTGTAGATTATTTTTTTTTCTCTTAATAAAGTAAGTGTCTAAACTTTACCTTAAAAGCAATTTTGTGGATAAAGTAATTTTTTATAAAAAAAAATTTTGGTTAAAAACTTACCTTAATAAAGAAATTTTCTTAATTATTTGATTTAAAGATTATATAAACAAATCATAATATCTTTTTATAATAATCTTAAATTTTATTTTTTAAAATTTTATTTCTAATTGGATCAATAGATGATTAAGTTATGAAACGAATTAAATAAGAAAATTTATGATCATTAGTATTTGAGTCATCATTGTATGAAGAAAACAGTATATTTTATTCAAATAATAATTATTAAAAGGAAAAAATTTAATGAAAAGAAAGATAAACAAAACATAATCTTAATAAAAAAAATTAGTAGAATAAAAAAACTAAGTCAACTCAACGGAAGCTTATTAGAAATATTTTAGAGAGAACAACTAGGAGTGGATTAATAATATACAATTCCTTTAACAAATAAACTATCAATATAATCTTCAAAATACCTATTAATTATTTTATAGTGTGATTTTTGTGTGTTTTCTGGCAGAATGGATGTTATTAAATTCAACTAAGGTTTTTCCAGAATTCCCCATTCCTTTTTATTCCCTCCTCTATCTTATAAGATTTTTTTTTATATATTTCAATTATTCGAAAGTCACGTGATATTTTTTTTTGTCGACCTCCCGGTTCTAAGGTTTTGTCTTGACTAATCTAAACCGACCCGAGTCGCATACCTGACTTTGGTGGGTGAGTCTCCTAACAGGAACTTTCTGCATATACAATAACTCGAACTCGAGACATTGCTTAAGTAATATCAAACTGTTTACTACTTGAATCAACCTTGTCGGTAGTCACATGATATAATGACATCATCAAGAAATAATTTTGACATATATTGTATAAAAATATGATCGCTTTGGAATGACCTCGAGAGAAGGGATGCAGCATGTATGTTAATCCAAATTGACAATATTTTTAAACCTAGACAACCCCTTTCTTTAACTAAAAAAAATGGTTTAATACAATTTTAGGTGCCTATACTATTAAATTGATTTTTGGTGCCTAAAAAAAATTCGTTAAAAATAAGTGTTTAATGTTTTTTTCATTACACTTTTAGGTGTCTACCGTTATATTTTTTATTTTTAATAATAAAAATATTATTAAAAGAAATTAAAAAAAACACCTGCATCGTCCCTCTCCCCCTACCTCCGACCACGACAAAGGGTCACAACTAGTTGTGTTTTGTTCAGAGCAAGATGAGAGACTCAATAGTGGCTATCATGTGACGCACCACTAGGTATGGATTGGAGGATGGTAGATAGAATTTTATAAAAAAAATAAAATAAAATTTATAACATTTATTATTCTATTAATTTTTATATAAACTATATCAGTTTCGTTTATTATTTAATCATTACATCACATTCCATCAATTTAAAGTTTAACATTAATCACAATCAAGTTACTTCAATGGTAAAGTGATGGTTACTATCTTTAGAGGTTATAGGTTCGAGTATCATAGATTTGCAAGGGTGCTAGAACTTTCATTGTTAAATGGTTGTGAATATTTAGAATATATACGACCTTTTAATCACCATAGATTAATAAAAAAAAGTTTAACAATAGAAAAATGTTTGAATTGATCTAGTTTATTAAATATTTAAATAATAATAAAAAGATTTGCATGAAGGTTAAAATTTTCTCAAATGATAAACCTAACATTTGAATTCATTCAAAAAAAAAACAATCGATGTAAGATATCCAATTATTCTTCTCAGTATGCTCTTAATTATTTTGCGACAAATCAGTTGTGTAATTGAAAAAGTGCATGGTTTAGTTTATCGGTAGTAAAGTTATTTTATTTATTTATCCTGAACCAATAGTTGTGGATTTGGCGCCATGCAATGATTAGTTTGCGAAGATAAAGAACCTGCGGTTCCTGATTCCTCGAGCAGTTTCTCACAAATGGCGAACGTTGTTCCCACTAAGGTGAAAAAATATCGAACAATAAAAACTACTCCACAGTAGAAATCAACTGTCGCTCAACAATCCCAGACCACTGTTCTGTCTCCTTTGCAAATTAGTAAAAGCTTCATCTGAGATGGAAGACGATGAACCTTTTCTCTCCCTCCAATCAAAACCTCAACTTCGGTCCATTCTTGAAGACGGCCATCATGGCTTATGCTTCAAACGCACACAATCAGAAATCCAAGACCACCAACAAACTCTACCCCCTTCTCACCTCGCCTGGTCCAAGAACCACGGTTCTCTCCACCGCTGTAAAACGGCTCCAGCCATGCCAATCATGCGTGACCTGAAGCCCAAAACACACCAAGTTCCCAAACCCCAATCAGAGTCCAGAACCATCATCAGGCAAGCCGTGTTCTTGCTATCCATTTACTTGTTACTCGGTGTCGCTATTTACTCTTTCAACACGGATGAATTCTCCGGCATCGAGACTCACCCGGTTGTCGATGCTCTTTACTTCTGTATAGTCACCATGTGTACCATCGGTTACGGCGATATAACCCCCTTAACCCCCGCTACCAAGATTTTCGCCTGTGTTTTTGTATTGGTCGGTTTCGGTTTCATAGACATTCTGTTGAGTGGGGCTGTGAGTTACGTTCTCGACCTGCAAGAGAACATGATTTTAACTGGGATTCACATGAAGAAATTGCAGCAAAGGTTTTCGGCTAGGAATTACATTGTGGATGTGGATAAAGGACGGATGAGGATAAGGCTTAAGGTTGGGCTGGCACTTGGGGTCGTGGTGTTCTGTATTGGAATTGGAACTTTGATGTTGTACTTTGTGGAAGGCTTAGACTGGATCGATTCGGTTTACTTGTCGGTCATGTCGGTTACCACAGTGGGTTATGGGGATAGGGCGTTTAAGACTCTCACCGGGAGATTGTTTTCCGGCGTTTGGCTTCTGATCTCAACGCTGGCTGTGGCTAGGGCGTTTTTGTATTTGGCTGAAGCAAGGGTCGACAAGAGGCATCGGAGGATTGCCAAGTGGGTGTTGCATAGAGAGGTCACTATTGAAGATTTGCTAGCTGCTGGCATTAACAACAATGGTTTTATCAGGTTGGATTTCAATCTACCTTGACTATGAATTCATCACAATTACCCTCTGTTATCGATCATTTGAGAACTTAGAATGTTGGTCTTGTTTGTGGTTATTTCTGGTTGCAGTAAATCCGAGTATGTGATATACAAGCTGAAAGAGATGGGAAAGATTGGGGAGAAAGATATATTGCAGATATGTGATCAGTTCAGCAAGCTAGACCCAAATAACTCTGGGAAAATAACTCTTCCCGACCTCTTGGAAAATCACTTGTGATATTCTGCAGATAAGCTTAGGAACTTCGGGCAATGGATGGGGAAATGTATATAAAGCGAAGCTAGAATATATCTCAGTTGTATACTTTTTCTAGCTGCAATTATGTGAACAGAAAACGGGATTAGCTAAAGACAGCAACATGTTTCTGATTTCATTAGTGTCTGAAATCTGAATTGTAATTCTTTGTTGCCAATGTAATCGTTATCCACAAGGTAAAAACAGAAACAGCAAGCGCCTAATTACATATTAATATTCACCCTCTTCTTACAAAGACCGCTCCAGCAGTATCATCTGCTAGGATGTCGAGAAATGCTGCAGGAGGAGGAACTCTGTAATGCATTTCTGGTTCTTACCAGTCAATCGGCTTCACTAAAGGCATGGTTTATTTGGGTCTCCCATTGCCTATTCCTGAGCACCAAAATACTTCGAGCGAGTCCATACGTGTTTACAAACTTACAAGTATCGTTCAAGAGTTGAACGACAAAAATTATCACATTCAATTCAGGACGGACACATGATTTTAAGAGAGTACACCAACAGATGAAGTGTCGGGAAGTACTCACAAACTTGTATTTTCAACAGGCTCTCAAATTGCTAGTACAGTTTCAGACTGTGTTCCGCCGATCCTGTTGGGCTTGTTACATAAATAATGCGGATAACAACCATAGACTCGGACCACTTTCCTGGTTCGCTAAATCTATAATGGGATGTTATAATATTATTATAAAAATGAGCATTGTTGACTAGTAGCCATGAATCCCATGATTGTCATCGGCGAGACCGCGAGACAGAATCTGGAGTGCGAAATAGGGAAATCAATTTGAGAATAATTAATTATTTTAGATGCAATTTAATCATTAAATTAGTTTATCTATGAATCAGGTAAGCGAGAATTATTGTCAAAAGATGAGATAAGATTAGGGTTTTAAATAGCGTTCGCTTTCACATTTTCAGTCGTGTTGCGTTTATTACGGTTGTAGATATAACGGATGTTATTGCGGTCATTGCGAATATCGCGATCGTGGATTTTTTTATTGATTTTTTTAACTAAAAAACCTTTTTTAAAAATAAAAAATAAAATAACGGAATAACAGCGGAATAGCAGTCCACTATTGTCACGATTGGCCGCGATCTGTTAAATTGCGGCCGCGATCTGCCATTATTAGTGTGATTCCGCTTCACATCGTTATTTTCTGTGATAGCGTTTTCGGATACCGTCGCGACCGCGATATAACGGCCATGATATTGTTATTCCGCCGCTATTTGCAACCCAGGATAAGACTGCCTTAACTACAAATATTATTTCCCCGGCTCACATTGGCAAGTTTTTTTTATCTAAATCTATAATGGAAAACTAGACGTATTATATTCAACTTTAACCCCAATAATTTATCTATTTGCAGAGTCTGAATCATTAAGGAGATTAATTACATCTACGAAAAGCCAACATTACCTTTAGAATTGATCAATTAAAACAAAAACTATTGGTTCCGACACCGGCGCGGGTACCGGCACCAATAACAAATCTGCCATGAACGAACACTGGCTCCGGGGATCAATTTATGTTCAATCGTACCAGTGATCTGTAAGCCAAAATACATCAGAAAAAAAAAGGATTAGACAATACTGTTACCTAATAAGAAAATGGCAGAAAAGAAAGGCTGCATGTTCATATACTTGTTATCTTCATTGGTCCATCATACGGATCGATTTTCTTCGGCGAGATTTGGTCAAATTTGCCCGACTCTATGAACTGCAAATCCTCCAAAAGAATGACATAATGTTTCTGCACGTCTTCTGCACGTTTTTGTCCTCCGATCATGTCTGCAACCGCTTCCCAACGATCCGGTGTTGCTCGTCGACCACCGCTAGAGCCACCTCAAACAACTTGTTCTCCTCCCAGCTCCACCCACATAATAACCTGGGAAAGTTGTCCATTTTGTCAACTCTGACAAGACCCTTTTTCCCCTTTGATTGATTAAAACTTAACAATTGATTCGCATTCCAGGATTCATCGAAGAAGAAGATCCGGAGATGAATCTTTAGCAGGAAAAACTTAAAATACAGCACAACATGCAATTTTCAAGGTAATTAAAGCCAAAGAAGGGTGGGGGGGAAATCTAATGATATTTTTTACTATCCTAACCTAATTAACCATCCATTTTCACGTTTTTCCAAATTTCTACCTTGAAACTAAAGAAAGAGACTTTTGTGTGCAAGATCAGATATTGCATGATTTTTTTCATAGTTCCCAAGGGACAATTTTTAACGGGCAGAACGACTTTGTTTTAAGTTAAAAAAGAGGAAATTATGTCATTTTCACTTGATTGGACACGATCCCAACCGACCTTCATTTCCTAATTTGTGTTTTTGATTTAACAAGTTTCTTAGGGAAAGGGTAAGAAGGGTTTGCTATTCCTTTTAATACACGCGTTAACCTGTCTCTCAGGGCATTATTACCCGTAGTCTCACAATACTTCCTCGTAGAAATTAACCTATAATTTTATTTTAACATAAATAAATTTAAATAATTATATTAAAATTTTAAAGAATTCAAAATTATAAAACTTTATGAACATATAATTAGATTTTTTATAAAAATATAAAAAAATACTATTTTCATCCCATTAAAAGGGTCTCGTATTGACTTTTTAAAATTCGAAACTTTTAAACTTTGACTATGATTTAAACAATTGAATTTTATAAAATATATATTTAAAAACTATTTGATTGAAGGCTTTTAGGGTATACATTTTCATATTTTTACTAAAAATAAATTTCAAACAATAATGAGTCAAGGTTACTAAAATTTGATTAAAAAAATAATAATTCACAGATTTAATGAGACATATTAAGTACTTAAATAACATTGGAATGGAACTTTTCAAGGGACGGACCGCACTCCAACACCCCTCGGTATATTAATATATCTTGATGTTAAGAGATTGTATTCAAAATTTTATTTGATTTAAATATTTATTTTACAGTATAAACTAAGTTATCTTAGTGATTAAATGGATGGTTGTTATTCTAAAGGTATCGGTACTAGCACATTGTATGTCAGATGTATTTGAGCGTTCATTATCAAATGGGTTGAGAGTCTTTCGAACAAATACTACATTGTAATTACCTTTAAATTAATAAAAAAAATATTTATTTTATATACTAATTTAATTTCATATTTTTCAAAAACTTATACTATTATAATTTTTTTAACAATATGTACCTAGGAGAGGGAAGGTAGAATTTTACTTCTAGTGAGTAATAAACTCACAATCTAATATAAAAATGAGATATCAACCGAGAGCTTTTATTCTTCTCCTCTAAAGATTGTTTATTACAATTTTATAATTTTAAATTTTTAATATAATATTTTAAAGAGTTATACTCCTATAAAATTTAATGGATGAATATATATTATAGTGGTTAATAAAATCTCTTATTTTAAGGAGAAAAAAGTGGCCAACATTTGCGAGCCTCAAGGTAACGTACAAATCTCGCTAGGCATATTCGTTTCTGTTTATATTTTTATAATTTGAATACATTTTTTTAAAAACGAATCTTATTCAAAACTCTCTTAGTGTTTACGTTGAAGGATCAAGTTCATAATGGGCCCCTGCAAAACCGATTTGGATTAATCGTTTAATAGATCGGATACCAGTGATTAATTCAAAAAAATAAAATTTAACTACTGAGTAATAAATTTTATTTTGTGATGTTATTCAAAGTTAAATGTTTATTGAATTTCTAATTATTATTCTTTAGTAAAAAATATATTTTAATTGTTTCAATTAATAAAATACAGAAGTATATAATTAAAATATAGCAATATTAATATTAATTTAAATAATCATTAAAATTTACTTAATCTATTAAGCAAAAGAAGGTAAAAACAATTCTCATACTATTTTGTTAATTTTTTTTGGATTAAGTCAATAATGGTTAGAGCATATGGTTAAAAACTCTTACTTGATATATTCCCTCTCTTAATTTGTGGTTAAAATATTGTGTTAATGATTTTTATAAATAAAAGGAAGTTAAAAGAATTTAATGCCTAATTCATCACGCGATTTCATGATTTTAGGAGTTGGAGGGTTAAAATCAAGGTTTAATATTAAAATAAATGTCTAAATTATATATTTTTTAATAGGTGTTTAAATTATTTTTTGATTCATCTAGGTGTTTAGTGTTACAAACGTTACTACTTTAGGTGTTCGGACCGTCAATGACGTTAATTTTCTTCGTTAAGTGACACATGTCACAATTTGGTGATTTTATTTTTTTTAAATATTAAAAATATTATTATATTTATAAAAACCCTAATTTATCTTAAATCATAAAATAAACCCCAAATCCCTAAAATCCACAAATATTAACCTGCCATCGCCGCCCTTCCCGACCACAACCATCGCCGTTACCGTAGTCTCTATCATCTTCTTAGTCATACGCCGTCGTAGTTATCGTCGATTGGCCGTCAGAATCACGATTTTCATCCTAAGATTCGTATGGTATAAAATATCGATTCGTCGTTGATCAATCGTCGATTGGTCACGATTTCATAAGGATTTTAGTTGCAGGGTGAAGGAGAGGTTGGGTGGAGCTTCTTCGACGACAAAGGTCTGCGGTCAACGTGGGTTTAAGAGTTGAAATGAAGGTTTTCAAAGTTTTGGATTTATTTCAAAAAAAATTTGTTTTCTTTTTTAAAAAATATATAATTTTATTTTTAAAATTTAAAATAAAATTTTTAAAATTACAAGATTACGACACGTGTCACTTAAGTGGAAATTAACACCATTGATGGCCAGGACACCTAAAGTTGTAATGTTTGTCACGTTAGGCATCGGGATGAGTAAAAAAATAGTTTAAGCACCTATTCAAGAAAAAAAAAGTATAATTTGAACACTTATGTTGGTATTAAGCATAAAATCAATGATATTATGCACGATTAATGGCGTAAGTCAAGGATTGTTTTCGATGAAAGCAACTCGCCATTAGTGTCATTTTGTTACACCAAATGCCTTGAGATAGTGACTAATCCACACTGTCCATCCAAATTCATTGCTAAGTTAAAATTCCCATCTAACATACAACAACCCATTTGCTACTTTTATTTCTCCTTTAGTTTTTATTGGAGTAAGTAAGCATATTGTTCTTATGGGACCAGTTTTACTTCTCAAATCTTCACCCCCTTCATCTGCATTTCAACCTGCAGATCAACATCAATCAATAAAAGAAGGGGGGGAAACGATATACGAAAAGTTATGATAATTTTATAAAAAATTACGTGGGTGAGAATTGTGATTTATTACTTGGCCTGAGTTGTTTTCTGCAAGATTATGAAATTACATGGTTTCTTTGTAATTGCATGTTATTGGTTGTTACACGAGAGTATTTCCTTTTAATCAAATTAATTACATTAATTTTATAAAAATATATTAATTATACATAAATTATAATATCTATTTATATGTATTAATTTTATAAAAATATTTATAATTTGTGTTCAATTATAATTATATATAATTTGAAGTTAACATACGTACCTTTGCCTTTCTTGTAATAATATTTTTTTTATAAAATTAATATCCTTTAGCTAGTGTTAAAACTTGTGTTGTAATTTTTAGTATCACATTTTTTAGTTAAAACTTTACAAAAATATTGTAAATAATAAATTTTTTTTTAAATGGTGTATAAAAATAAAATTTTGATATAAAATAGTGGACGAGTAAATTTTACACATATTTTTTTAACAAAAGATATTTAGTACCAAATAAGCCCCTTATTTACAAAAAGATTGTAAATAATAAATATAATTTGTTTTTGCTATTTAATTTATTTTAGTCTTTTGTGCAAGTGTTCATTCACAGGACATGATGCAACTAATACAATGTCAAATAAAAACAGTGCATTTATAACGGTGATTTGATTATTACTCCCACAAGCAATCATAAGAAGAAGATTTGGTGCTTAACATTCTCCTACATTTTTTGCAAAACGACACTGAAAAAAAAAACAATTAAAGGTGAAAGAAAAAAAGTAAGAAAATGGAAATGAAAAGGTGGAAATCATGTGTATGAGATTAGAGACACTAGGGGAATTTGCTCATAGTTATGAGGCAAGCCAAAGCTGGATTTTAAGACCGAGGCTTCTCCCATTTGAGGGGCTTCACAACTTCCCAGGTGAAGTCTGCGTCGTCCCTTCCAAAGTGTCCATAGGCAGCTGTCTTCAAAAACCGCCCATTGCCTCCCCTCTTGAGATCAAGGTTGATGGTGATCATTCCAGGCCTAAAGTCGAAGTTCTCCTTCACAATTTGGAGGATTTCCTTGTCGGGAATCTTTCCTGTTCCGTAGCTGTCTACAAAGACCGACAAGGGCTCAGGCACACCAATAGCGTAAGAGACTTGGACGATGCACCTCCGGGCAAGACCATTTGCTACAATGCTCTTGGCAGCCTGCCTAACAATGTATGCACCACTCCTGTCCACCTTGGTAGGGTCCTTTCCAGAGAAAGCACCCCCACCATGGGCTCCCCAGCCACCATAGGTGTCAATAATGATCTTACGTCCAGTGAGACCTGCATCACCGTGAGGACCACCAATGACAAAGCGGCCAGATGGGTTAAGGTGGAAGATTGTCTTCTCATCAAGGTATTTCTCGGGGATGACAGGCTTGATAACATGCTCTTTGAGGTCAGCAGCAATTTCATCATTCGTAACAGTTTCGTCATGCTGGGTGGAAATGAGGACGGTGTGGACACGAATCGGAACCATGGCACCCTTATCATTGTAGTACTCAACAGTCACCTGGGTTTTACCATCAGGCCTTAGCCAGGGGCAGGTGCCATTCTTCCTAACCTCAGTAAGACGTGCCCCAAGTTTAGTTGCAAGGACGTGGCTAAGGGGCATCAATTCTGCGGTTTCATCAGTGGCATAACCAAACATATGGCCCTGGTCACCAGCTCCAATTTCTTCTGGGCGCTTGGTAAAGTGACCATGCACACCCTGGGCAATATCAGGACTCTGCTGCTCAATATTGACTAGGACCTTGCAGTTGTCGGCATCAAGACCCACATCATCAGAAACAAATCCAATGGAGCGGCATGTGTCACGGACAATCTTCTCATAGTCTACATTGGCTTTGGTCGTAATCTCTCCGAAGACCATGACCATGTTGGTCTTGGTGCATGTTTCGCAAGCAACCTTGCTGTCAGGGTCCTGGGCAAGGCAAGCATCGAGCACAGCATCAGAGATC